ATCCCAGTAGGGGGCAGCGTGGTGGAGCTCTGTGCCATTCTGCCCTCACCCTCTGGCATCCGCCCTGGGCCCCGCCACCCGGCCTCCAGGTGGATGGAGTGACCTGGACCACACCCCCACCTCGTGCTCTGACATGCTGGTGGAGCACTGGATGCCCGTGTCCACGGGGTTCCGCGCCATGAACTGCTCTGCCAGCTCGGGGTTGGGCGGGATGTCGATGTGCAGCTCCGCCAGGCGGTCTGAGAAGTTGCATTGCTTGCCAAACTCGCTGCGCTTCTTGACATACACGTACACGATCTCCATGGTGCAGGCAGCTGCAGGAATGGAAGGGTGGTGTTTGGTGAGAGGGACCCCGTCTGGCCGCTTCCTGTCCCCCTGGGCATCACTGGGCCCGGCTCCAGGTTCCCCATCTGGTGGAGGGCAGGGGTCCAAGGGATTTGTCCATTTCTGTTGGAATTTATTTACCTTCTATAATTGAAACTTTGTACTCTTGAGTGGAGGAGGCCTGGGCCCGCCAGAGGGTGTGGAAAGCTTGGCTTCCTCCATTGCCAGGGAAACCCAAGCCTCCCTCCTGCTCTCTGTGGCCGCAGCCATCTTGGCTGGGGTTAATTTGCATATTACTCTTTTATTAGATAGGATAGATGGAGTGAAATCGAGAATTCAGAAATAAAAACCTTTCTATTTATGGTCAACTGATTTTTGGTAAAATTACCAACGCACCTCATAAGCTATCAGAGCATAAAAATGGAGCTTGGATAACTGGGCCTTGACCTGCAAAGAATGATTACAAACCCTGACCTCACACCACACTCAGCAATGAGCTCAAAAGGGGTCAGGGGCATAAGTGAGAGAGCAAACACCGTATCACTACAGGGGGAAGACACGGAGCAAAATCATCCTGATAGGCTTGTTTTGGATAAGATTTCCTAGATATGGCATCAGCCCATAAAAGAAAAACACAGTAGCTTGGACTTCATTAGGAATGAAAACCTTTGCACTTCGGACGACAACACGAAGACAAGGCACAGACCTGAAGGATGTCCTTGCAAATCACAAGCCTGATAAAGAGCTTGGAGCCCAAATTCACCAAGACCGACTGGGTTCCAGGCGCTGCGAACCCCCACCAGCGCCCCCAAAACAGCTACCACAATTCTCATTCTACAGGCGAAGAAGCTGATGCCGGGAGAGGTTAAGCACCTGGTCAAAGGTCACGGTACTTAAGTCCAGACAGACAAACAGACAGACAGGACCCGGCTCTGAAGGGGAAGAGCAGAAATGGTGCACTTACAGGCCCCCCGCCACCCACCCAGCAGGTTCCCCGTCACTGTACGCTCCCTCCCCTCCATTCTCATCAGCAAGCTCTCCGCCCCGCCTGCCCGTCCTCCCGCCACCCCAGCCCAGGCGGTGTTTCTGCTCCATTCCGCTGCAAACCCTCTGGTCCCCCCACTACCCACCCCGCCAGCAGACAGAGGGCGTCAGGGCCAGCGGACTGGGAGCAGAGGGCACAGGGGCAAGGTGTGCAGGCCTTGCAGGGCCCTGTGACTCGGAGGTAGTGAGGGCAGCGAGGACCAACCGAGTGGGCTCCCTAACCACTGGGCAGAGCCACCCCAATGGGCTCCCTAACCACTGGGCAGAGCCACCCCAGGGGGACGCCGGCCCCCTCCTCCCAGGAGTTGCTCGCCCTATCGGAGGTTATTATTTTGGGTGGGGGCGGGCCTCCCGCCTTCCCTCTCGACTTGTCTCCCCGCCGACATCTTCCCCCGCCAGCCCTTACCCTGGGCCCGCTCCTGCTGCCCCCGGGAAGCTGGGGAAGCGCCCCAGCCTCGGTGCCCGCTCCAGCGCCTCTCAAACGGCTCCCGGCGCGGAGTTTACCCGTTGCCTGGCAACCCTGGCCGGGCTGGGGACGCGGGACCGCGCGGAGGCGAGCGGGAGCCCGTGACCTTCCCGTTCCGGCCGGTGGGAGGCGCAGCGGATCCCTGCTCCCTGATCTGGAGGTCTGCAGGGTGAGGAGGGAAATAACCAACAAGTTAGCCAAATACCGGGAACAGAAACCTTCGCAGGGGCTTGCCAAGGCGCTGGTCCAAGTTTACCGACGTGCCCTGGGCAGGATCTGGAGGAAACGCCAGTGTGTTGGCAGTGCCCCCGGGGTCCGGAGCCCAGGCTGGGGAGGCCCCGCTCTGCTAGTTATTTGCTTGTGATCTGGCAGGAGTTTGACCACTCCGTCGCTCAGTGACCTCATCCACTAAGTGGGAATTAGAACCCCAGCCTCCCCTCTTCTGCCAACCCCAGGCCCCCCAATACCTCATCGTGTAAGAATCCTCAGTCTGACCCAAACCGGCCACAGTGGAAAGGAGGGGCTGGACAGAAGGAGGGCTAAGCAGGCGCTGAGTGTTCACGGAATGAATTGATGCAATAGCATTTCTCTTGGTGTCAAGGTAATGAAGTGAGATCATACAAAACTTAGGGCTAGAAGGCATGCATTGGAACCCCAGCTCGGCCAGTTACCGATCGCATGACCTTGGCGGCAAGTGACTTTCCTTTTCTAAGACTCAGCCTTCCTCTTCTGCAAAGCGGGGGGACAGTCATTCCTCAGGGGAATGGGGAGGGTCAGCTGAGATGATGCACGCGTGGCCAGCCCGTGCTGATGGCAGTGCTGGTGTCTGACCAGTGCCAGGTCTGTATTTCCCCCGAGGGGACTGGACGCTAGAGATGTGGGCGCAGGGGGACAAGGGGTGTGTCCTCCAAGAAGTGGGGTTTGGGGCGGGAACCAGGCCTTGAACAGTGGTTGTGAGTTGCAGGGCAAAGGAGAGCATTCCAGGTTGTGGGGAGGGAGCACGGTGTGAGCAAGGGAGGGGGGTGGTGGTGGTGGAAGAAAGGCATTTGGGGGATGGATGCATCCTTCGCGCCTCCCCCACCCCCTTCCCAGCTCCCCAACTTCTCCACGTATGTCTTCACCACCGCCCACCTGCCTTGAACTGGGCTGGGCAACACAGTTCCCAACGGAGATGGCACTTTGCCCACCACACCAACCAAAGACCAGCCCCTAAGCTTCCACCGGCTTCTCGGAACGCTCTGGGGTGGGTACTGGGGGCTGGGGGAGGAGCATCTGACAGCCCACTGAGGTGGTTTTGTGCAGTCAGAGGCGAATAGGTTCCAGACAAAGCATCCGGAAGTAAGAAGCAGATCACTTCCAGAGCGGAGACCGGAGACTGCCAACACTGGTCACTGACACCCCCTTTTCCTCCTTCCCAGTGTTCTGTGCAGGTGCCATTGTCAAGAGGATGAAAACAAGTTTTTCAGAGGATGAAAACAAGTAGTTCATTGTTGAAATGCAAGCGTTGTTTTGTGCTCACCTTGAATGCAGCTACTGCTGATTCATTTCCTAGTTGTAACCATTGTTGGTGGCATGTTAGTCTCACACATGTAAAATGACAACTTCATGAACATACGTGCTCATAGCGTGGCACGGAGGCCCCCAGCCTGACTTCTGGGTTGGTCCTCGCTTCCAGTTACCCTCTCTGGGCCTCTGTGGCCTGTTTGCAAAATGATGGCCCGCAGGGTTACTGAGGTCTGACCGGCAATGAGCAGAAACACGTGGGGCAGCCCCGGTGCCCTGCAGGCGTCTCACATGCTCCTCTTCTTAGCGACAGGAAGAGCAGAGCCCTTTCCGGGGAAGCTGGAGAGAGGGGGGGCAGGCACGGGGTCTGAGTGTGATGGTAGCGAGGGGAGGGCCCGTGGCGTTCTCAATAGCCCCATCTTTCTTTCTTTCTTTTAAAAAAATATATATTTCTTTATTTCAGAGAGGAAGGGAGGAGAGATGGAAACATCAGTGATGAGAGAGAATCATCAATCAGCCACCTTCCGCACACACCCCACTGGGGATCAAGCCCGCAACCCAGGCATGTACCCTTGGTGGGAATCAAACCTCAAGCCGACACTCTATCCACTGAGCCACGCCAGCTAGGGCAGTAGCCCCATCTGTCAACCCAAAGACTGACTTTGCCCCTGAAATGTGCCCGGAGGCCCTCCAGCCCCATCACCCAGGCAGAAAGCCCCACCAGCCCCCTCCTCCCTCCACAGCCAAGGAAGGCAGACACGGAGCACAGACGCTTTAGGACAAGTGGTTTATTGGCCGCCCAGGAGGGCGCACATGGACCAGGCAGAGGAACCACCCGTGCGGTCTACATGCATTAGACCTCCGTGCAGCCTGCCGGCGCCGTCGCCATCCGCACAGGACGTGGCCACTGACTGTGTGCCCACGGTGCTCGGCTCAGAGAGGTTAACGCCGGGAGTCCTGGCTGCCCCGTGGCCCCATTCTGTCCTGGGGGCTCGAGAACCATGTTTGCTGTCCGTGTTTGACGAGAAGGTGGCTCTTCCAAAACGCAACTGGAGCCTTGTCCCAAGCCCGGCCAGCCATGTCCCTGCTTTGGCGTGTGAGGCCGTGGGAGCGCTGGGCACCCAAGACCCTAACCCTGGCTCCTCCGCAGGCAGAACTGTGGCCGTTTCCTCCTGGTTTAGTGCCTTCTCACCTAGCAGGGAGCGTAGGGGCCTGGGACAAGGGGTGGGGGGTGGGGATACGGTGGTGGGGGTGGCGGGAAGACGACAGTTGTCCAGCTTTGCTAAAAGCTTTCCAGACAAACTCGCCTGAAGACAAAAGGAAGGGGAACGCTGGCCCATGCTGGCCGTTCCCCTGGGTGGACGCCGTTCATGCTGTTTGTCCTTCCTTCCCCCTTAAAGGACCATCACACAGCAGCTTAGGGCAGGAGGACTTGATGATCTTTATTTCGTTTAAAAATCCCCCCCTCCTCCTCCCCTAGGTCCTGGCAGTGTCAGCAAGACCCGAAAAGGAACGGGATCCAAACCAGGGGTGAGGACTGTGAAAACTACGCCCTGAGGCTCCATTCTTTGGCTAATCCACGTATTTAAAACGCCAGGGAAAGGAGAGTTAGTCTCTTTCAAAGTGTCCGAGATTTCCTGTCGGCGTGAACGCACTCCCAGCATCACTCCCAGCCTCGAGCTGGAAGGAGGTGATGCGACCGAGGACTGCGGAAAGGCCGGGGACGGAGCGGGCTGTCACCCCATTCCCACCCGCTGTCACTGCAGAGCTGCCAGGCCCGAGCGAGAGGCAGCAGCCCTCCTAGGCAGGGCCCCAGCACCTTCTCTGAGGCCCAGGAAGAGGCCCCCAGGCCCTGGGAGATGGTCTCACCGGGGACATCGCCTTCCCACAAGCATCTCCCGATCAGCGCTCCCACCTTTGCCTGCAGGAAAATGCCTGCAGGAGGCACAGGGCTGGCAGTGGGACCCTCGGGCCTGAGTCGGGCCTTCCTCACTGTCATTGTCATTCCCCACCCGGCGAGGGCAGGATGTAGGCGTGAGCGGATCCAGGCTCCCGGGGTAGGGGCAGCCAGCAGCTGGGGGACAGGAGAGGAGGGAGAGGCCGGTCCAGGTGGCGGGCCCTCCGTCTGCCTGCCTGCGGCTTTGGTCAGGGTCTCAGCCAGGCCCGGGCGCCGTCCAGCCCTGCCACCCTGCAGGCGGTCCCCAGAGGCCTTTGGCTTCTATGGATGACTCGCAGTTTCCAGGCGAACCAATCCCAAACCGAGCCGGACGGAGGCGGCAGGCGCCTCTGGGAGCTAGGCTGGAAACTCGTTCCCGTAGTGCCGCAGGTGCTGGTCCCCGACGGACAGGTAGGTGGCCCGCATGCTGGGAGAGTACTGGGGGAGAGAGGGGAGAGGGGACAGCAGCCCAGGGTCAGACGTGTCACCAGCTAAACCGGACGCTGTACTCGGGAAGGTGCCGGGAATTTCTGAGGGAGAGGGAGCCGGGCCAGCCAGCTGTGTGGTCGTAATTGGGGTGCCCGCCCCTCCCTGCAGGTCCCTAAGTATCCAGGGCACTTCCTGCAGCAGCGTCCCCGAGGGCCCCTGCCGGGGACACACTTCCCGAGGCCCGGGCTGGGCGCCCCTGGGCATCCTGGTCTCAGGGTGAGGCCTCCGCCATGGATCCCAGGTCCCGGGACGCCAGGGCTCCTAGTTCACCTACTGGTCGGGCAGATGCAGCCCTAACCGGACAGACGCCTGCCTGGAGCCCTCCGCACCCTGCCTGCTGGGGGGCCCCGTTACCGTGGGCGGCGGCGAGCCTCTCCCGATGAGCGGCGTGTTCTCGTAGCGCGGGTTCCCGCCGAACAGCGCAGCCTGGTTCCTGCAGGGCCGAGAGGAGCACTCAGGGGAGCAGGCGCGGGGAAGGGGGTCCCATGGTCCTAAGGGAGGGAGGGGGTGGACACGGACCACAGAGAGAGCGAGGGAGTGTGGGCAGGAAGCTAAGTGTGGGGGGGCCTGGGGAATAGGCCTCGGTGAGCGGCAGGGCCCAGGGGCAGCGTGGCCTGGGGAAATGCAGATTCTCGGCCCGATACCCACTCACAGTGGGCTCTTCCCTCCGCACACGGGGCTATGCAGGGGGCATGTGACTAGCTGCTCCCGGGGCCTTCCTGCCAGCACCCCAGGGCTCCGGGGAGGGGATCCCTTGGCCCCTTGGACCGGCGGACCTATCTCCCTGTGGGCGAGGCGGCCGGGGTGGGGTGGGGGGCCAGGGGCCCGGCCGTACATGTACTCGGAGACGGGCGCGTTGGAGAGGGCCTGGGCCGGCGGCGGGCCGGGCTGGCTGTCCAGGCTGCCGCTGTAGCTGCAGAAGCTGGGCAGCCGGCCCCGCGCGGGGAGGTAGGCCGCGATGCGCCGGGCCTGGGGGTTGAAGGGGTCGTCATCGTCGATGTCGTTGTAGTCTCTGTCCCTAGAATGACACAGGAGGTGGCCCGCCCGCCCGCCGTGAGGGGCGAGGGAGGCTCCAGGGCCGCGGGGTCCCGGCCGGCTTCCCCGTGTCTTTCCTCCCAGGACTCGCCCTCCGGCCACAGCCACGTCCTTGACTTTCCCCTGAAACACGGTCCTCAGCCCTGATCCCAACTTCACAGCCACCGCCTCCAGGCAGCCCGCCATGCTGACCACGGAGCCTCCCTAAGCTGCTTCCTCTCCTCTGACCTTCCATCTCTTCTCTGTCTACTTCCTCAAGCTGCTGTAGGCGGGTGCTGAGCAGTGCCACCACCATCTCTGCTTCCTGGTATCCTGGGGCACCCCTCCCAGCAGGGAAACCCCCCTCATTTATGTCCCGCCGCAGAGGCCTGCGGAGGAAGAGAGGACCAGCAAGGGATGCCAGGTCGGGGTGCGAGGCTGTCACCGTCCTCAGACCCACTCCCGCCCCAGCTCCTTCTGCAGAAACCAAGCCAGGGGCCTGCTGGGGGGAGTGCCTGCGCCCTCCGCCGTTCTTGTCCATCCCGGGTGGTCAGCTCTGAGCTCCGTCAGAGCAGGCCCCCCCCCCTGCTCCCCCGGGAGGCCCCTCCGGGCAGCCCACCTGGCGGGAGAGCGCTTCCAGGCCGGCGGCCCCGCGCGGACCATGGTGGAGAAGGCCAGGGCGGCCAGGAGGGAGAAGAGGCCCAGGAAGAGCAGGCCCTCAATGCCGTCGTAGCAGACGCCGGCAAGGGCGTCCAGGTAGTCCTGCGGGAGGGGACGCAGCTGGGCGGGAGCGGGCACGGCCTGGGGGCTGGGCTTGGCCCCGGAAGCCCCTCTCCCTCGGCCTGGACCAGCACGATGACTCTTTGCCAACCCTCCCCGCCCCCCCCCCCCGGATGTAAAAGCTGCCGACACGATGCCAGTGTGCTCCCTGCATCGTGTCTGAGAGTTCCCATCCCTGGAGCTGACCCTGGCTGTGGGCCTGGGATGCCCACTTGCAACCCAGAGAGATGGACGGGACGACCAGGTGGCCGGGAGTGTGGACAGTGGGGAGCGGCCGCCCTCACCAAGGTCAGGGTCCCCAGTACCCTAGAAGTGGCCTGACCCAGTGCTGCCACCTCACCCCCTGGTACTTTCACCGAGTCTCCCTGTCTCAGCTGCTGGAGAGAACCAAACAGCCAGGTATCTCTCCCACCTTCCCGTTGCCCAGCTTCCTTCCCATCCCCGGGCAATCTCTCCTCTAAGCCCCCCCTCCTGGCTGCTCTGGGAAAATGTGGCCCCTGGGGGCGTCCCCACCCCCCGGGGCCAGGCCCGCACCTTGTGCAGCCCTCGGCAGTCCAACAAGGCCGTCAGCTGGTGGAGGCTGGACTCCGAGGAGTTTAGCAGGAGCTGGATGCTGAGCAGATCCTCCTGCAGACAGACAGACGGACAGATGGACAGACAGGCAGAGACTGAGCTGCGGGGGTGGGACTTGTGGCGAGGATCACCCACAGCAGCCGGGGTGCACAGAGGCCCCTAAAGCCACAGGAGCCAGACTCCAGGGGGGCACCTGTCCACCGCCCGGCTCCCTGGGGCCCTGGCCCGGGCTCCCCCTCCTCTGCGTGGGCGCCGGGGAGATCGCCTCACCTCCGCCGTGGGGAACACGGGCACAGCAAAGCGCAGCAGGCCCGCCACCTGGAACTGCATGGCGGTCAGCGAGCGCTGGAAGACGGTCAGCGCCTGCCCAGGAGAGACCCGGCCCCGCGGTGAGGGTCATTCCCCAGGACCCCCCGCTGCGGAGGGCGGTTCCCCCGTAGCGCCCCTTCCCCGGCTGCCTCTGCACGCACACCCCTGACTAAGGCCCTTCCCGCCTGCAGGAACCTCCCCCACACCCCCCCCTGCTCCTTGGGAGCTGCAGGGTCCTCTTGCTTCTTGCTGCTTAGAGGGTGGTTCTTGGATCAACAGCGCTGGTCTGGCCTGGGGGCCTGGGAGAGATGCCGACTATTGGACCGCCCCCCCCGACCCACTTCATTGCATCTGCACGCCAACCTCGCCCTGGGTCTCGTGTGACCTGGAGGATGCTGACCGAGAGCACTGTCCCCTTCAGAGGATCACAGCAAAGCAAAGGACACCCGGCCGCCTCCCCCTGCCCGGTCAGGGCTGGGGCTGGGGGTCCAGGAGAGGGGACTGTGGGCAGGGGGAGGGCTGGGCGGGCGCGGTACCTGCTGGAAGGGGCTGCTGATGCTCTGATTGCAGTACAGGTAGTAACGGGTCACCTCTGCAAGGCAAAGACCAGGTCAGGCAGGAAAGGGCCCAGGCCCGCGTCCATCCTCAGTGGCGGAGCCACCCCCAAGCTCCCCAAGAAGGCAGGTTCTAAGCTCGGCTGGTGTTGCTCAGTGGTTGAGCATCTATCGGTGAACCAGTCACAGTTTGATTCCTAGTGTGTGCGCAGGAGGCAACCGATCAGTGATTCTCTCTCATCACTGATGATTCTGTCTCTCCCTCCCTCTCCCTTCCTCTCTGAAATCAATAAAAACAAATAACAAAAAGAAACGAAGGAGGAGGACCTCTGAAGGAGGTCCAGCTGGTGCTGGAAGTGTGGGGTTTGGGAGAGACTGGGGACCACAGGGCTGAAACAGGTAAGGAGAGGCACAGTCTGGCTGACCAGGCAGCTCTGACCACGGAGGCCCGCGGGCTGGTTACCTGTGCTGAGCTGGCCCTCCGTGATGTTCAGAATGAAGGTGTCGGGCGCCGCGCAGAAGTCACTGGTGCCCTAAGCCAGGGAGAGACGGAGGGGCGGGGCCAAGTCACACCTCTCGGGCCCTGGGGGGAGCCCCGTGCCCCCACCTCAGCCTCTGGACCCCTCAGCTCCGTCCTGGGTGGCCACGAACAGCCAGGAGCCAGGCTCCTGGGTTTGAGTCCTGGCTCTGCCCTTCCTAGCTCTGTTGCAGGCGCCTTGCCTAGAACATTCCCTTTATGAACTAATGTCCACCAAGCCTCCATGTCCCCGATGCCTCCTCCGGGAGGGACCCTGGCGAGCCGGGGCCACGGCGGCTGCAGGCTGGGTGCTGGGTCGTTTGCACCAGGGCCCCCTTGCTCATCTGTTTCGTTGTTTGTCTTGCTGTTCCCAAGTCCCACACCCTCTGGGGTGTCAATCCGGGGAGCCTTCCCTGGATTCTCTAAAGAAGGATGCTGGTGCTGAATCCATCTTTGTGCTTTTGGGGGCGGGGCCTGCTCAGGAAGGCTTGGGGGGCTGAGCAGAGCACGGGGCTGGGAGTCAGAGGACATGAGCTCCAGGCTCTGCCATGGATGACCCACCGCATGGCCTGGCTGGTGACCAGCAAGGCCCAGGCACCCCACCCTGTCACGGGAGGGGCAGAAGGAGGGGAGCCAGCCAGAGGGGGTTGGGGAGTGGGGAGAGAGCGAGGCTACCATCTTTGTTGGGTCACCCCCGAAAAGTTCCAAAGACGGGGCAGGAGGCCTTGAGGACTCCCCGTGCCTGCCACCAGGACATGGGCCTGTGTATGCACTGGCCACGCAGTGGGGACGGGGATGGGAGGGGAGGGAAAGGGGCCGAGCACAGCTGGGGCGAGGGGAGAAGCCACCCAGGGCCCAGCTGATGGCTGAGCCTGTAGGCAGCTCCTGACTCCGAAGGAGTCAGCCTGGGACCCTCACATGACAACACAGTGGTAACCAGTGGAAACTGCCGTTTAGTGAGCATGAATTATATGCCCCTTCCTTCCCCCACCCCATGGATTAACCACCCATCATCCCACCAACAAACCATCCTCTAGGGCAAGGGCTAGGATTCTCCCCATTTTACAGAGGAGAAGGCTGAGGCCAGGAGAGCCTCAGTGACCTTCCAGGGGCCCATGCGGGGAAGGAGTGCCCAGATTTCCGGGAAGCTCCCCTCAAATCAGTGGGGACAGAAAAGGCAGAGGGGGTGGGTGATGGGGGGCACCGTGTCAGTTCTCTGGCCCCACAGCTCCAAAAACAACCCACAAACAGAAGCCAGGCCTCGGAGCGCGGGGGCAGGGCGGCCACACAAAGCCGCCCACAGCTGCCTTGGCCAGCCCGCCTCCCCCTCCCCCTCCCGGCTCCTCCTTCCCCCGCTTCCCCCGCTTCCGTTTACAATGCAGCAGGATGTGCAGCCAATCAAAGGCTCATTCACGGGCTCCGGCACCGGGGGCCTGACTACGCCAGTCAGGGAAATGGCCTTTCTCTTTGCAACCCTGCATCCCAGGCACCCGGCCCAGAGACTGTAAATCACCGCTGGGCTCCCCGGATGCTGCAGCCGGGGAGAAGGAGCCGGGAGGAGGCTGCCTCCCATAGGGCAGCTTCAGGGGGCACGCTGGCTGCTGGGGGTCCCGGGGGCAGAGGCTGGGGAGGGAGGGGGGGCAGGAGGAGGCCCCAGCAACGCCAGCACGTGTGAGCTTCCCTGTGCTCACACCGTTCCGAGGAGAGGCCGTGGGCCGGCAGTGGTGCGTATTGCCCTGGCCAGCAGCCGCTCTCCTGACTATACACAGCCCCCTCCCCGCTAACTCCCCCATCCCCATGGCGTCAGGATGCCTTGGAGCATGACGTGTGCCATCGGACCTGCCCTTCCCTGTGTCTGAAGGGAACACATGCTCGCGCCTGTCCAGCTCTCCCTCTGGGGGAACAAACCCCAACGGGAGTTGCCCGCCTCCTCTGCCCACCAGCCAGCTCCGCGCAAAGTGGCATGAGCCCAGCAGCACCGGGCATTCATTCTCTGGGTCCCGTGAGCGAGCGGCCAGCCCCTGGGTCCCTGGGCGTAAGTCTGGGTACAGGGCTCCCGGCAGGAGCCCGTCCTTTTCTGTCCAGGTCGCTGGGGCCCTCGAATCAGCGAGGGGCTCCCTGAACCCCCTGGTAAATCCTGCCCCCCCTGCCACACACACAGCGGGCACCTCCGCGGCACCCATCCACATGGGGGTGCAGATATGCCCGCCAGCCTTTCTCCTGCCACTTAGTGAGGAACAGACATGGCACCGGCGCCACTGGGAATGAGTGAATGAGTGAGTGAAATGAGTGAATGAATGAAGAACTCACGCACGCAGCTTAACTCAGACGCCAGATCTGTTAAAGACCGAGCATCTGCATAGGAAGTGCCCCGATCCTGTATTTTAGTTTCTAACATTTTGAGGTGCCACACCCACACACATGCATTGCTGGGAGTCAGACCGGGTGGGAAGGAAGGGGACAGAGGCAAGTTCAATGCCACGTCCCAGGGCCCAAGGGTGTGCCGCCGAGGGCAGAGGGCTGGAGGCCAGGGGGCTCTGCCAGCCGAGGGCCAGACCCCACCCGTCCGTCCCGTCACCTCTTCCAGCTCAGAGAGCCGTCACCTCGTCACCCTGCACGTCCTCACAAGCAGTAAGCAGGTGGCTGGGCCCGGGCCGGGTGGGGGAAAGGACAGGCTCCCGCTGTCTTTTTATCATCTTGGCTAACCCCTCAGGATCCTGGGGAAGCCTCTTCCTCTCTCTGGGCCTGTGTCCCCCCTGAAGCGTGAGGGGGGGCTGGTGCAGGAGATCTAAGGCCCTTCAGCTCTCAGATTCTGGGGTTCTAGCTTAGGGACAGAGACCGGAAGCCGGCCTGGCCTGGGGGTGCTGGGCGGGACACACTGATGTACCACCCTCCTCAGCTGGTCCTGGTCAGGGCCCCCCCACACTCACCACGGCTGCGGCGGCATCGGCGGCCAGGGACGTCCAGCTGAGGATCACGGCCAGCAGCCCACAGCACAGCAGCCTGGGAGAGAGGCGCAGCGGTGGGGTCCAGGCAGTGGCAGACTGGGGACGCCCTGATGGCTGACACCCAACCAACCTCAGCGCCCTTCCTCTTGGCATGAACTTGCCCTCTCTGAGCCCCGAGTCTTGGTCCCTGCCCTGACATGGGCCCCGCTGACTGCTGAGAAGGGCCCACCCCTGGGACGTAGGTCGCTGAACCAGAGACGGGGGGGGGGGGGGGGGGGGGGGGAGGGGGGGGTTCTGGCTAGGGAGGAGGTGCTGGGGGGAGGCTCAGGCCTGGGCAGGCCCAGGTGGGGGACACAGAGGGGAAAGCCCAGCCCTTGCTTAGGGTCCAGATAACAAGGTGGTGGCTGCCGCCCCCTCCTGGCTGGGCTCTGAGCAGGGGAGGAGGCGGCTGCAGGCTGTTGCTCCCACCACCTCCTTCGAGCCTGACGGGGTTCCCTTCTCTCTGCTGGTGGTCCCGCCACCCCACCTGCTTGCCCCGATCTTTGTCCCAGGCCTGCAGGCCGGGCTACTCACAAGGCCAGGAGGCACCTGGAGCGCTTGGCCAGGCCCACGCAGGCGAAGAGGCAGACGGCCAAGTCCAGGATGAAGAGCAGGAGGTAGGAAAGCCACCTGGGGGAGTGGGGAGGGTGCGAGGGACGGTCAGGGGGAGCAGGACACAACTCCCCACTCGGGGGCCTGACCGGCAGCCCCAGGCCCACCGAGCCTTCGCTGTACCACTGCCCGGGGGGCGGGGTGGGCCCAGGTGCCCACAGAGAAGCTTCCTGCTCATTTTTTCCCTTGATGTCGGAGCCAAATAAATTCAGGGATCCCTCCTCTCCAGCGCTGGTTCCCGGCTTCACTGGTACCCAAGGAGGGTGTGTATGGGGGCAGGAAGTGGGCCGTGTGGGCAGGAAGTGGGACGGAGCCAGGAGAAAGTGACAAAAGGGTTCCGAGGGGGAGCTCGCTCGCTGGAGGCTTGGCAGCCAAGTGTGGTTCTTCCTGCCTTTGGGAATGGAGACCCCCCAAAGCGCCCGATTGAAACACCCCCGGCACAGAGTGGGGCAGACCGGCAGGTGCCCGTGGCGCCCAGAAATGGAGGTGGAGATTGCAGGATGAGGCCATCAAGGAGCCAACTTTCTCAGAATCAGAGTCAGAGCCAGAAGGACCTGGGGACCATCCGGTGTTAGGATCCCTGCTCACAGATTGGGAAACTGAGGCCAGCAGCAGGGGAGCCGGGCCCAGGAGTTCCCCAACTCTCCAGCCTTCCTACAGGAGACAAGGCCATGTCCGGATGGTGTGGCTCAGTGGGTTGAGCATTGACCCATGAACCAGGAGATCATGGTTCGATTCCCAGTCAGGGCACATGCCCAGGATGCTGGCTCAATCCCCAGTGTGCATCGTGCAGGAGGCAGCTGATCAATGCTTCTCTCACCATTGATGTTTCTATCCCTTTCTCCCTTGTGTGTGTGTGTGTGTGTGTATATATATATATATATATATATATATATATATATATAGAGAGAGAGAGAGAGAGAGAGAGAGAGAGGGGGGGGGGGGAGGGAGAGGGAGGGAGAGGGAGAGGCCAGCCACCAGGACCCTCTCAAAGTCCTGGCTTCATGTTTCAAACCAGAAGGTTTCTCGTGGCTTCCCTCCCCATCAGCAGGAAATCAGGTCAGGATTGCTTCTGGCTCACTCTCCAGGACCGAGCTCAACCCCTCGTTCTGCAGCCTCGCCTCCTGCCGCATGTGGTTCCTGGAAACAGCTCCGCGAGGCGGATGCATCTTCCCAGAGTGGGGGATGGCCTGGGTTTGTATTTCCAACGGAGAACGGGGCCCGAGGCTCTCCAAGAAGCTGCCAGCCGACTCCCATGGCCTCGCCCACATCCGGCCTCACTCCTGGGCTCACTCGTCACAAGGCCGTCTGTGCGGGCTTGTCAGGCCTCCAATGCGTGGGCAGGCCTGCACGGAGCGCTAAGGGATGTCTGCTGAGCTGGACACGCTCTGCACTGTCCAGAAGGCAGAGAGGGGGAGGCTGCCTGGAGCCCCAGCCCTGAGGCCGGTCAGCCAAGAACAGACAGAGAGAACCCAGAGCCGCTCGGTGAGAGGAGCGGGTGAGAGAAGGAGCGGGTGAGAGAAGGAGCAGGCAACAGCGGAAGATGAGGACAAGGGACAGGCCATCCTCAGGGCTCAGGGGCTGCAGGCACTAACCCTGGAGGAGACCTCTGATGCCCAAGGGGTGGGAATTGGGGATGGGGGTCCCGGTCAATCACCCAGATTGAAATAGCTCCTGGGCAGTTGGCACCACCCTCCTCGCCCACTTTTATCTATCTATCTATTTATATTTATTTATTTTTTAAATGCATTTTATTGATTTTTTTTTTTACAGAGAGGAAGAGAGAGGGATAGAGAGTTAGAAACATCAATGAAAGAGAACCATTGACCAGCTGCCTCCTGCACACCTCCTACTGGGGATGTGCCCGCAACCAAGGTACATGCCCTTGACCGGAATTGAACCTGGGACCCTTCAGTCCATAGGCCGATTCTCTATCCACTGAGCTGAACCAGTTAGGGCCCACCTCTCCCACTTTTAAAAAAAACTACCTTAAAAATAAGCTCCTTTAGATATGCCCTCTGCTAGGTCCTCTCAGAGAAAGCTGGCTGCAACCGCCTGACCTCCCCTGACCCCGCATGACAAAAAGGCTGCGGAGGCTCAGGCAATGAATGTCTCTCCCGTCCCAGGACGAATCAGAGGCCTCTGTTTGGGGTCACGAGTCACAGCCAGTCCTCAGAGTTGGCAGTCTGTCACCAGGAAGAAAGGCGCTGCTGTACATGATCATCCATCGAGGGCAGGGGCTGGACGGCTGCAGGGGGAGGGTCTGGGGGCGGGGATGCTACCTGGAGCCAAGACCTCATGTGTTGCCTCTCAGCAGGGCCCTGCCCCGGGGAGGTGAGAGCCCGGGGTGCGGGGGTCTCTGGCTTCTCGGCCGGGGGAGGGGCTTTCCCATAAAGGGGAAATGAATCCAGAAAGCGGAGTAGATGGTGCAACGCGGGGCTAAAGGCGGTGACCTTTGCAGATGGCTTGAAAAGGAGCCAAGGAATTGGGAGTGGGGAGGGGGTCCAAAGAGGTGACACCTCTTGGTCAGGACTCATTGATCTGCTCCGCCCTCCAGCCTCCGTGCCGGGCCGGGTGCAGGGACTTCACGAGTGGGTGCTCCTTCAGCCGGGAGACACCCAGCCAGACGGCTGCCGCCCTCCCGGGCTCTCCCAGGGGGACCTTCTCTAGACCCTCCGGCTGACCGGTGAGTGCCCAGCGTGTTGCCTTGGGACGGGGTCTGAGGAGTGGGGGGGCAGGGGAGACTCATCGGGCCCCAAAGAACAGGTGACATAGGGATGAGCTTGCACTGAGTATGGCAAATGGAGGGGAGGGTTTGTGTCCCCCAGCGCCCATCGCTCCAGCTGGGGGCAGCTCTGGGCTTGCTAAGACATTGCCATCAGGGGAGGCTCGTGCAGACAAAGAGGCGCCCATGTCCCTGGTCGCTGGCCCCACACACCGTGGGAGGTGAGGAACCGTCAACCACTTGTACTTCACCCAGCAGCCGGGGAGCATGCGGGTGCTGGGAGCTTGAGCTGTGAGGTCCACGCTGGGGTCCCGGCTGAGCACTGCCCTCCCGGAGGCTGGTCTAAGGCTCAGCCCTCACCCCTCAAGCCCTGGTGTCCTCTCACTTCAGCTAACGGCTTGTGGAGAGCTTGGGGCACCTCCCTGCCGGGGCCCCTCACCGGTAGTACTCCACGTAGCCGGTCTGGTCAGCCAGCCAGGTCAGCTGGGCGCTGACCTCCGTCCACACGGGCACCCCCGTCAGCTGGTCGACGAGGCCGGCCGCCCTCTGCTGCACCAGCTTCAGGGCCTGGAGGTAGTCGCTGCGGGCGGCGAAGATCTCACCGAGCCGGGCCAGGTGCCGCGCCAGGTCCACCTCCATCGTCTGGGTGGTTCCGGACACCTGGGGAGAGGCCGAGGGGGAGTCTGGCCCGGAGCGGGAGGAAGCCAGAGGGGGGAGCTCCAGACCCCGACTCTGATTCCGGAGGAGTGCTGGGAGGAGTGGAGGACGGGGCTTGGGCTCCAGTGAGTGCACCTCCACCTACGCCCACCCCACAGCCCTCCCGCCCGCCCCGGCCCTGCGGGGCTCCGGAGGCTGCTGCTCAGACGGAGGACGGAGGCTCCCACTGCCCACCCAGCCCTCAGGCCCCGACCCGGCCTGACCAGCACCTGGCCCCGCCATCCAGCACCTGACTCTAGAGAGAACCAGGCGGGGAAACACAATCCCCCTGGTGCTTCCCTGTGATTCTCCTAAAACTCTCAACACGCTGGGTTACGGATTCTCTCTCTTAGGGGGAGGAATCCTGTGTGTGAGCCCAGAGTTCTTGTTGCCGCCTGTTTGTCCGGCAACAGGATGGAAAGGTCTTGTGCAAAAGGGATGCCCGCAGTCCAGCCAGCGGCAGCTCCCGGCTGGCGTGAAGGCAGACAAGGGAGCTTTGCACGGACAGACAGACCCCATCCTGCCGCCTGGACACCTGGTGGGAGGAGACCAGCGCCTTCTCTGTCTGCAGTCTGTCTGGCAGGCGGAGGGACAGGCTCCAGTCCCCTGGCTGAGCCTCAAGAACCTGGAGCTGAGTGGACCCTGAAGGAAGCAACTTGCGATTCAAAGGTCGAGGGGGAGGGACGATGGCAGGGACGGTCTGTGGCTTAAGGACAAGGAACGCAGAGCCAGGGTCCCCGTGGGACACAGCCCGGAGCCCGGCGCCCCCCTCCCTCCCTGCGGGCCTGCTCAGGCGGTGTGCCGGCCGCGAGGGGAAGCAGAGCGAGGCTGTCCTGAGATGGTCACACTAACCGGACCAGCACGGCTGGCTGGAAGGGGGGGCGTGTGAAACCCGGGCCGGGAAGGAAGATAAAGGTGACCCAGGAGAAGGGGCAGGCGCTTCCCACAGCCAGAGCTCAGCAGGAGGCAGATGACCCCGGATTAGAGGGGCGGGGGGGGGGGGGGGGCGGCCTTCACATCTGCACCGCCCCGTGCTCTGAGCTCCCGGTTCCAGGAGGAGAAAGGCCTTTTGTTTCATTTTGTTTTGTTTTGTTTTTCAATGTCCAGGGCTTGTTCGGTTCCGGCTAGTTCCCGGTTCTCACACACTGGCCGAGGAGTGGGCGTGGCCGGCCGAGGAGTGGGCGGGGCGGAGTGCAGAGACGCACACCCTTTAAGGCTTCCTGGGCTTTTGGCCTCACGCTGGGTGAAAACCGCGTGTAAGTAAACACCGCAACTAAACGTCACCCCGGAAAACTGTCCTTTTTAATCCAGTAAGATGGACGCACACGTGGCCGCAGGCACGTTATTAAACGCGACAGGAGACACACACCGTGAACTCCGTAGCATTTTCACGTTCCTGTTCTGTGACAGCCCAGGGCTGCGAACGGGATCTGTCAACGTCAGCTGGAAGCCACTTCCCCTCCACAGCTCCGAGTTAACTTCTCTCTTTTCCTAAATCCCTCCTCCAAAGACAGGCGCGAGGACCTGGCTGCCTCTTTCCTCTGTCTTCTCATAGGAAACCGCAATGCAGAAATAACGACCCCAGCGCTGGCCTGCTGCAGCACCCCTTCCCCACGCCACCCCGTCCTTAGAGGTTCCAACAGGCAGTCCCAGCAGGAGGCAGAGGGGGAATGCTCCAGCGTTAATAGCTCCCCCACCGAGGGGCAGAGGCAGCTCAGCCCCAGGCTGGGGTAGGTTACAGGCCAGTTAGGAGGTAGTGGAAGCTGTGGTCCCATAGGATATAGGATGGAGCTGTGGTCCCATAGGGTATAGGATGGAGCTGTGGTCCCATAGGATATAGGATGGAGCTGTGGTCCCATAGGATATAGGATGGAGCTGTGGTCCCATAGGGTATAGGATGGAGCTGTGGTCCCATAGGATATAGGATGGAGCTGTGGTCCCATAGGGTATAGGATGGAGCTGTGGTCACATGGGATATAGGATGGAGCTGTGGTCCCATAGGGTATAGGATGGAGCTGTGATCCCATAGGGTATAGGATGGAGCTGTGGTCCCATAGGGTATAGGATGGAGCTGTGGTCCCATAGGATATAGGATGGAGCTGTGGTCCCATAGGGTATAGGATGGAGCTGTGGTCCCATAGGGTATAGGATGGAGCTGTGGTCCCATAGGATATAGGACGGAGCTGTGGTCCCATAGGGTATAGGATGGAGCTGTGGTCACATAGGATATAGGATGGAGCTGTGGTCCCATAGGGTATAGGATGGAGCTGTGGTCCCATAGGATATAGGATGGAGCTGTGGTCCCATAGGGTATAGGATGGAGCTGTGGTCCCATAGGATATAGGATGGAGCTGTGGTCCCATAGGGTATAGGATGGAGCTGTGGTCACATGGGATATAGGATGGAGCTGTGGTCCCATAGGGTATAGGATGGAGCTGTGGTCACATAGGATATAAGATGGAGCTGTGGTCCCATAGGGTATAGGATGGAGCTGTGGTCCCATAGGGTATAGGATGGAGCTGTGGTCCCATAGGGTATAGGATGGAGCTGTGTTCCTATAGGACAGTGGTCGGCAAACTCATCAGTCAGCAGAGCCAAACATCCACAGGACAACGATTGACATTTCTTTGGAGAGCCACATTTAAACTTAAACTTCTTCTAACACCACTTCTTCAACATAGACTCGCCCAGGCTGTGGTGTTTTGTGGAAGAGCCACACTCAAGGGGCCAAAGAGCCACACACCTGGAGGAGGAGCCCAGCCCCGGAAGGAGAATCCCCAAGGGAAGGGAAGGCCCAGAGCGTGACCTTCACCAGCGGATGGTGACTGTGAGGGATGGTGACTGTGAGGAGTGCGATAGTGACCCTGGAATTCTGTGGAGCAGAGCGGTGCTGAGGGGGATGAGCGGACAGACCCACAAGGTCCAGTAGCCTTTCTCCTTCGGTCCTCTCGTCCCTGGCACCCCGCCCACCCGGGAAGCAGCAGTTGCCTGTCCGCTCCAGGCAGGACCAACTGCAGCCCCAAATGGAGTCCAGCGCCCCCTCTTCCGCCCGAGCCGAATGGGAAGGATCTGACTGGGCCCTTGTTCTGACCACACTGACCTCACCCGCTGTGCCCGGCCCGGCCCGCTGCCCACTGCCCAGAGCCTTACCAGCGCCTCGATCCCGGAGAAGGTGTGGTTCGCGTTTTCCAAGGAGTAGATCAGCTGGTACACCCCATCGTTGGTCTCGCTGTTTCCATAGAAACCAACGCCCACCGCGGCACTAGGGGCAAGACCCCAAAGGAAGTTAGAGGTGGCGCCAGAGAGAGACCTTGTTGAATGTGCTGTTTTAGAGCAGGTTAGGCTCACAGCAAAACGGAATGGAAAGTTCAGCGTTACACATGTAGCTCTTGCCTCCCCTCCCAGATTCCCCTGCTGTCACCAGCCCCCACCAGAGCGGGCCACAGGTTCTAACTGAACCTACATGGACACGTCGTGTCACCCAAAGTCCATGTGTGCATGAGGCTCCCTCTCGGTGTGGAACATGCAACGGGTGTGGACAAGCATCTGAGGACATGCATCCTCCATTAAACACCACACAGAGCATGGTCCTTGCCCCGGAACCCTCTGTCCAATCTGTCCATCCCCACCCCCAGCCCCTGGCGTCCCTGTGTTTCCCTGTCTCCAGAGCTTTGCCTTTCCCAGAATGCCATGTGGTGGGGACCCCACAGCACGTGGCCTCTTTGGATCGACTTCCTTCACTCACTCGCAAGCATTCCCCTTCCTCCGGCTTGCCACGGCGGGACGGCTCATTTCTTTTTAAATATATTTCTATTGATTTCAGAGAGGAAGGGAGAGGGAGATAGAAACATCGATGATGAGAATCATGGATCGGCTGCCTCCTGCACGCCCCATACTGGGGATGGAGCCCGCAACCCAGGCATGAGCCGTAACGGGGAATGGAACCGTGGTCTCCTGGTTCACAGGTGGACGCTCAACCACAGAGCCACGCCGGCGGGCGGCTCATTTCCTATGGGCGCTGAGTCTGGATGGGCCACAGCTCATGTCCCCGTCACCCACTGACGGAAGTCCTGGTTGCTTTCAGGTCTGACTGTTAGGAACAGAGCTGGTCTCTCCAGGGAGAGCAGGTGGGTTTGACGTTAGCTGAGGCGCTCTCTCCGCGGGCGGCTTTAGGGCCAGCCTGTCCCGGCCTGGCTGCCTCCTCCACAGCTCAGGGCAGCGCAGCTGCAGAAAACCCTCCTGCTCTGGCCCCATGAGTCCAGCTGAAGAAAGCCCCTTCTTCCTCTGAGCCGGAGCCCCCTCCTTGAATCAGGCCCCCCCTGGCTCCCGGTGTCCTCTGGGTCCCCCGGAATAAGCCTCCGATTCTCAGACACCCCCGTCCGACACCTGAGGTCAGACACGGGTCCTCTAGCTCCACGCTCACTGGGCAGTGTTCCCCTCAACATGGCCTGAGTGAGGGGCCAGGGCAGGGGCAGGCAGGGGGGGCGCTGATGCCCTGAGATCCCCTCTCCCCACCGCCGACTGGTGCTCACAAGCCCCAGGTTTCTCTGCAGGATCCCCCCCAAGCCCTGTCCCTGCTCCCTCCCGTCCCCCCTCCCTCCCGCGTGGTGAATGGGTGTTTGTTTCGTTCTAACCAATAGGGGAGCTTTGCCTCTCTCTGTGAAATTGCATCTGGTGGGATTTGGTCCAGCATTCCAGGCGGAACAAATCATCTCAGGCCCCGCCTCCGTCACCCACACCCCTGGGGGCCGTGAGCCGAGGCATTAAGCAGCCTCCTGGGTGTTCATTCATGACAGCAATCCTGGGGGTGGGGGTGACATGTGTGTGCGTGTGCGCCCACGCACTGATCCTTCTTTTTTTAAACATGACAGGAGCGGGACGGGGTCCTGGGAGGCTGTGATAGGAACCTTCCAGGCGCCTTGACCCTTGCTCAGTGTTCCCATTAACAGTGCAGGCCAGGCCCTGGCTGGTGTGGCTCAGTGGATAGAGCGTTGGCCTGGGGACTGAAGGGCCCCAGGTTCAGTTCTGGACAAGGGCACATGCCTGGGTTGCAGGCTCCCAGTGGGGGGCATGCAGGAGGCAGCCTGTCAATGAGTCTCTCTCATCACTGATGTTTCTATGTTTCTCTCCCTCACCTTTCCTCTCTAAAATCAATAAAAATATATTAAAAAAAAAAACAAGTGCAGGTCAGGGTGCCCGCCTTCTGCCCGTGTGTCAGTGAGGGCTGGGCCGGGCCCTCCCCTGTACAGTGCCGTCCTTCTCTCTGGCTCCCTCCTGCCCAGCACAAATACCATGAAGAACCCACTAAGCGCACTGCACACTCCTGTGTACTTCCCCCTCAATGGCAGGTGATTATTACTTACGGGATCTGACTCTCTGGAGTTATTAAAAAATATATATATATATTTATTGATTTCAGAGAGAGGAAGGGAAAAGATATAGATAGAAACATCAATGATGAGAGAGAATCACCGATCAGCTTCAAGGCAGCGGCCGGAGGGGACAGGGACTCAGAGCAGGTGCCCCCTGCTCCCGTGTGCCACCCAATACACAGCCGGGCAGGGGACATGGCACAGCAGAGGCCCCATGCCCGCTCCAGGCCTCTGACTCCGCTGCCTGGCCAGAAAAGGGACAACGCCCACCCAGGGGCAGGCTCTCCATGAGGCACCCGGAGCTCCGTCAGGAGGACGTGGCCAGAAAGTGGGGGGCGAGGCCAGGACCGGTTTGGCTCAATGGATAGAGCGTCGGCTTGGGGACTGAAGGGCCCCGGGTTCGATTTCGGTCAGGGGCATGTACCTTGGTTGCGGGCATATCCCCGGTGGGGGGTGTGCAAGAGGCAGCTGATCGATGACTCTCTCTCATCGATGTTTCTAACTCTGTATCTCTCTCCCTTCCTCTCTGTACAAAATCAATAAAATATATTAAAAAAAAAAAAAGTAAGTGGAGGGCGAGGAAGGGGTGTCACAGTTATGGGCTCGACGTGGTGGGCAGGCCCACTTCCCGTGCACCACGTCCCCTCGCGCTCTTGCACGCCGCCCCGAGCTGCCCACGTGGGGCCGGTGCGGAGGGACACTCACCAGCAGGCGAGCCCGGCCACCACGGCCGGCCAGGTGACGCAGCAGGACGGGCGCGGCTTGGCCTGGCGGCAGCAGGCGCACACCAGGTAAGCCGTGAGGAAGAGGAGGTTCAGGCCCAGGCAGCAGGTGGCCACCAGCCCCAGGAACAGCAGCGACTGCGGAGGGAGAGGCGTGGGGTCAGAGCCGGCCCTGTGGGGGGTCTGGGAGGGCCCTGCGCTCAGGCCCGGGGCACCCACGGGGCTGTGGGTGTAGGAACCAGGCTCAGCGGTGCGTCTGCAGACACGGGGGCTGGGGGGTCGGGGAGGACCAGCGGAGGGGGGTGGTGTGGGATGGGGGCAGCTGCCGGCCAGCCCCAGGTGTGTGGCCGATACGCCTGGATGGACATGGGTGAGGCCCTGCCCGAGGAGACGCCCAGAACCCCACAGGGCGGGGGCATCTGCTGGCAGGGAGAACTGAGGGGACAGGTGACTGAGGGAGACAGGCAGGGAGAGGGACACCTCAGCTCAGGGGGACCTGGGCCAGGCCCAGGAGGGGATGTCCTGGCATATCTGCTTCCTCCCGAGCCTTGTCCTAGGGGTGGGGTCTCTCTCACGGAGTCATGAACAGGACAGCGACCCCACCACCCTACGTGCCAATGGTGGCAGCAAAGCCCAGAATTCTGACGGGGTAGGAGGTGCTGGCTCAGGCCGAGCGAGGATCTCAGGTCCCGTAAAGGGAGCGGCTGTCTGCCAGGAGGCCTGTGCCTGCTCCATGCCCTCCGATCTCTTGATGCAGCCAGATGGCGCCAGGATTGGTGGCCGCAGCCGGCGCTGGCCCTGGCTGCCAGTCAGGCTCACCCAGCCTCCCACGTGCCCCCCGAGGGGGTCCTGGCCCAGAGCCCCCTGTGCTCCAGCCTGGGCTGTCGGGGCGGGAGCCTGCTTCGGGGACCCCGTGCTGGTGGCGGCAATCAGCAGGGTGGGGGAGGTGCCGGGACCCTTCAGGTCCAAGGGGGAGATGATTCTGAAAATCTGCGGCTGGGGCTGCAGGCCTGGGCATCTGGCCTCAATGAGGTCACCGATAATGCCTCAGCCCAGGAAGGGGGGCGGGGAGAGGGGTGGGAGGAGGGCTGGAAGGCCTTGCTGGGAAGCCCAAACTTGGAGGGTGGGCATTGTTAGTGGTTTACTGCTGGGCTGGGAGGGCAGGGGGGACGGGGCAGAGGGGGCTCAGAGAGAAGGAGGTGGGATGGGAAGAGGAAAGGAGGAAGGTGGGGGAGGAGGGGGAGGGAGGATGCGGCAGATCCCCATGTGCAGGGGTGAGGGAGGATGGGGCAGGTCCCTGGGCGTGTGCAGGGGTGAGGGAGGATGGGGTAGGTCCCCGTGTGCAGGGGTGAGGGAGGATGGGGCAGGTCCCTGGGTGTGTGCAGGGGTGATTGAGGATGGGGCAGGTCCCCGTGTGCAGGGGTGAGGGAGGATGGGGCAGGTCCCTGGGCGTGTGCAGGGGTGAGGGAGGATGGGGTAGGTCCCCGTGTGCAGGGGTGAGGGAGGATGAGGCAGGTCCCCGTGTACAGGAGTGATTGAGGATGGGGCAGGTCCCCGTGTGCAGGGGTGAGGGAGGATGGGGCAGGTCCCCGTGTGCAGGGGTGAGGGAGGATGGGGCAGGTCCCCGTGTGCAGGGGTGAGGGAGGATGGGGCAGGTCCCCGTGTGCAGGGGTGAGGGAGGATGGGGCAGGTCCCTGGGTGTGTGCAGGGGTGAGGGAGGATGGGGCAGGTCCCTGGGCGTGTGCAGGGGTGAGGGAGGATGGGGCAGGTCCCCGTGTGCAGGGGTGAGGGAGGATGGGGCAGGTCCCCGTGTGCAGGGGTGAGGGAGGATGGAAGAGGGAGAAAGCGGTGGAGGGAGCCAGGAGCCGGGCTCACACGCCGTTCTGCTCTGACAGCCTGGACAGGACAACTTCCCACGTCACCTGCCCTCCCGGTGCCCTGCAGCCACCACCTCCCATCCCACCCCAACGCCCTGCCCGCAGCCCCTCGGCCCCAGCCTCTCCTCAGTGAAGGGACTTGGGTGAGCTCTGGTGTGAGGAACCAGAGCAGAAACCCAGGCCCCGAGCCGGGGCAGAGTGACCCGCTTGCATTCTGGGAAGCCTGAGGCTGGGACTGGACCCCAAGGGGGCGGGGAACGGCCTGAGCCCCCTTTCCCCGAAGCCACAGAGGACAGTGAGCCAGCCCTGCGGGGAGGCCGGGGCCGCGGGGGCCCACAGGCTGGGAAGGGTTAACACCCCCAGCTGCCCTCCCACCCTCTCGCCGGCGCCATGGGGGTGGGGGTGCAGCGTGATTGTCCGATGACCATGACTCAACCTTTAGGGCTGGATGAATGGTGCTTCCTCATCCCAGCCTTGGCTCACCCCAGCCCTTCCCGGGGGGTCCCTGCCTGGCCGCTCCCCCGGAGACTCGCCCCCACGCCGAAGCGGGGGTTAGTGGGGTGAGCCTGTAATTCTGGGCCTAGCCCCCACTCCGTGCCCTCCCCTGGCCTGGGCACACACACACTGGCACCCTGTGGGGAGTCTATAAACAGAAGCACCCCGAGTTTAGACATGAAAATACATGCCGAAACACGAAAATATCTCTGCTGCTTCATGCGTGCTCCGAATATACAGTTACAAGCACCGCTGCTCCTTCGCGCGTGTCCCGGAGGGCTGGTGTACGGATGCAGCAGAGGGGACAGGAAGTGCACGTGGCGCTCACACGGTGACTGTAGCAACAGCGAGCACAGCACCGGGGAGCTTAAGACATCAGTATGTTTCAGGTACATTAGCTCACCAGTGTCTGGGGTCGGTCCTACTATGTGTTATGGGAACTTCTATGTACTAAGCATGTTGCATGGGACATCTGGCCTAACACATGCAAGTGGGGCAAGCGAGACTCAGAGAGGTACAGACACCTGCCATGGTCACACAGCAAGCGACAGAACCGGGTGCCAACCCAGACAGCGGCATGGCGGAGCCCCGGCCCGGGCCCGGCCCTCCTGGCCATCCCGCCTCCCGAGCCTGGCAGGAAGCTCGTTTCGGATCAAGTTTGCTGAGTGCCCAGATGACTGGTGGCAGAAGGTGCCCAATCCAGGGTGCTACCACCTGCTGCCCGGCTCTGGCTGTGATTGCCTCTCAGGAGAAAGGGGATCTCTGGGAGAGACGGGCTCAGACACCAGAACTCACCAAACAGGACCCACATCCAGAGCCACTCCCAACCCTGGCTGGCTCACCCACCTCTTCTCCCACCCTGCCCTCAGGAGGCCTGAGGGGACCAGGAGCCTGGGGGTTGGGGTTGGGCCGTGACCGTGGCCAGGGGCAGGGGAAACCCTCTGGAGTCACTTGACACCCAGCACCGTGTGCCAGGTCCTAACCCCGGGAGGGGCGGGGCTGGGCTGTGAGTGGGTCCTTCTGGCTCAGATGCCGCCTCAGGCCGTGCTAGCTGGGGCTGCTGGACACACAGGTGCTGTCCCTGGCACGGGCCCGCCATCCCGCCCGGAGGAGAGAGCGAGCTGTGGTTGGAGAGCCAGGGGCGTGATCTGGGACGGGGTGCGGGACAAATACTCAGCACCACACCGCCGTCTCAGCAATCACACCCGCCCCTCCGCACTCAGGGAGCGGATATCCCCCAGGGCTGCCCCAGGCAAGGGCATTCTCTCTCCGGGACTCCGACTCCCACGGGCGGGGCTCTCAGACTGGGAGGGGCCCAGTAGGCACAGATTAGGCCGGGAGGGAGCCAGGCAGGGAGAGCCCAGATTCTCTGGGAAGGCGAGGAAGGGGAGGGAGCCCCAGGAGCTATTATTAGACTCCTGTCCACATGCTCTGCACACCCCGCCGATGGGGATCCCCGTTCCCGGGCCCTGCAGGGGAAAGGCCTGGCGGGCAGGAGGCGAACAGGCGGCTCCAGGCTCAGCGTCCTGCAGGCCGGACGGGCCCCATACCGGATACGGTGCCCGGTGCCCGTAACCTGACTGCAGGCGGGGGTCAAAGTCCGGAAACTGGCCCACAGCTCAGAACAAACGGGCCCGGCCGGGGCGGCAGCCGGATCTGGGACCTGCAGGGAACTGACTTGGCCTGGGCCAGACCTGAGAATGTGGGGAGCTTCCGTAGCTCAGCCTGGGCGAGGAAGTCTGGCGAGGGGGTACCCCACCCGCCGTGGGGTACAGAGACCGCAGGGCGAAGGGCCAGCACAACAGAGAAACGGCAGAAGTGCAGGGAGAAGGGGGGTGGCCGGCTGGGACCCCGAAAACCCAGGGAACAGAAGGCTGTGTGTACGGCAGGCTGACGCGGGCCTGATGGGGCCGACCCGGGGCCAACCCGGACCACCGTCCTTCCCCCAAACATCCCGGCGCCGGTGGGGCCCCCGCCCAGCCCCCCAGGACGGCCCGGGAAGAGGGGTGCCGCGGCTCCCACCCAGCGGGCAGGGCTGCGAGGAGGGGCGCTGCGGGCCCAACTCGGGAGACTCCAGTTAGTTTCAGCCCAAACTTCTCCCGGTCGCCCGGCCCCGGAAAGAGAGCTTTTCCCGAAGCCGCAGAAGGAAACCTCCGGAGCCCCGCGCTGGCCCGGAGGAGGGACCGGGTTCCGGCACAAAGGTCCCCGCCCGCCCCGCGCGGCCTCCGCCTCCGCGCTCAGCTCCACCCGCAGGCCGCCCCGCTCCCCCTCCCCTCCCCTTCCCACCGCCGATCGGACCCCCAGTGCCCAGTGCTCCCGGCCCACGAGGCTCCCCGGCGGCCGCGCCGAGGTGAGGGTCCCGGGGGGAAGGACGGGGCGGGGGTCTGGGAGGCTGGAGAGCGGCGGGCTGGGACGGTGCACACTCACCTCCTGGTACTCCTCATCGCGGGGCCGGAAGGTGCTGTTCACCCACTGCAGGCGCAGGCTGAGGTGCGGGGCCCGGTGCAGCCACACCACCCACCAGGGCGCCAGGTACTCCCCGCGTGCGCCCGGCATGGCCCGGCCGAGAGCCCGCTCCTCTGCCGCCGCTGCAGCCGCCGCCACCGGCCCGGGACGCCACCCGCGCGCATCCGCCCAGGCCCCGCCCTCGCCGGCCCCGCCCCTCGCCGGCCCCGCCCCGCCCCGGGCTCGGCCCCGCCCTCTGGGCGTCCACTTTTCTGCCGGGCGTCCCGCCCAAAATCCCTTTGCGTGCCCCAATATACAGTTACAGTCCTGGCCTAGGCGAAAAAGGTGGAAGAAGTGAAAACAGCCCCAAACGCTCCTAAATCTGTTTCTTCATAATTACTAAGTCTCATGTTCATGGGTGCAGCTAGCAGTCAGGGCGCTGGAGGCGAGGCTGGCCGTTATTTAGGGGGCGGTGAACTGACTTATTGGGACAGAAGGGGGCAACATTTAGTAGTTGTCCCTGGGAGCCACTGGGGACTGAGGAAAGCCCAGTAAGGCGGGACTGGCGGGCCTCCTGGAGGAGGGCCTGCCCTTAGGGAGAGGAGGGGAGGGGAGAGGAGGGGTGGGCAGGGAGGGAAGGGGACGCCAGGCCTTCAGCTGCACATGTTTATTGAGCATCTACTGTGTGCCAGCGCTGTTCTGTCGTGAGCAAAGCAGACAGACCCCCCCCCACCCCAGGGCAGCACATCTCCGTAGGCGGATGGCGACAGTCGGCGTGCAAAGACGCACGGAGCGACATTAAGGGTGTTTTTGGAGAAAAACTAAGGCGCAGCAGGGTCAGCTGATACCGTGTTTTCCCGAAAATAAGACATCCTCCGAAAATAAGACCTAGCGCATCTTTGGGAGCAAAAATTAATAAGACACGGTCTTATTTTCGGGGAAACAAGGGTAGGACTGTGGGGGCAGCGGCAGATCTGATAGCCTCAGAGGCCCTTCCCAGGAGTTGAAGGTCAGCAGAGGCCCCAGGCAGCAGAGGGCCACGCTTCTGCACCTGAAAACAGCGTGGTGTGACCGAGGACGCTGGACGGGCAGGTCGAGGGCAGGGCAAAGGGCAGGCCGGGGCTGGGGAGACGGGAGTGGAGGTAGGGGGTCCTGAGGGGATGGGGCTTGGGCCCTGGCAGCCAGCCTAAGGGGCAGTAGGGATTGGGGCAAACCCCCAGGCTCCTGGGTCCAGGAACTAGGTGGATGCCGGAGTCTGTAAACGCCCAGAAACACCATGGACAGCCCACAGCGGCCCCAAGAGCCTGAGGTCCTACTATGTGCTTTGGGAAGGAGCCCTGTGTCCTGGCCTCTCCTCCTGGTTGTCAGTCGGGGTCAGTTTTCCCGGAGCGTGACTGGGCCATCTCATCTGCGCACGTCCAGAGCTGGGGCACAGAAGGTTGGAGACCAAGCTTCTCTCACAGGGATTTTCTTTCATTCAAGAATGTGGGTGGAGCTCCCTCTGTTCCAGGGGACACAGTGATAAATAAAACACAGGTTCCTGACTGCATGGGGTCTGGATCTAACAGGTGAGTGGGCAGCCTTGGATCCCAGGGGGGATGGAGTCTGGGGGGAGGGAGGGTGGTCCAGGGATGTTTCCTGGGGAATGAGATGAGGTGAGAGCTTAAGAATGACGGACAGGAGGCAGCTCAGGGAGGATTCTGAGCAGAGGGCAGTGACTATGATAAGGGATCAGGGACCACGCTGGGCAAATGCAAACCAGCGTCAGGGGAGGGACCAGGAGGAAAGACTGGAAAACTGCCGAGAACAGGTCAGCGCTGAGGTGCAAGAGGCCCGTAGGGGTGACAGAATCACCCGATTGCAGTGGCAGTTACACAGGTGTAAATGTCAAAATTCGCAGAACTGCACACCAAGGGTGAATGTCACTGTAAATTACACCCAATAAGCTTTACTTTAAAATAAATGCCTTGCCGAGACCGGTTTGGCTCAATGGATAGAGCGTCGGCTTGGGGACTGAAGGGTCCCAGGTTCGATTCTGGTCAAGAGCATGTACATTGGTTGTGGGCACATCCCCAGTAGGGGGGTGTGCAAGAGGCAGCTGATCGATGACTCTCATGATGTTTCTAACTCTCTATCTCTCTCCCTTCCTCTTTGTACAAAATCAATAAAAAAAAAAAAATGCCTTTACAAGAATAAAGACATATATATATTTTTATTTTTTAATTTATTGATTCTAGAGAGGGAGGGAAACATCAATTTGTTGCTTTTTGTATGTGCCCTGACCAGGGATTGAACCCACAACCCTGGCATGTCGGGACAATGCTCTAACCAACTGAGCTATCCGGCCAGGGCCTGCGTTTTTAAATATAGACAGGCAAGAGCCAGAGCACAGGTGGAAAGGGTTTTGGTCTTTGAAGCAGCCACTGCTGGCTGCAAAGGAAGATGGGCTTGAGCAATTATGTAGGGCCCTCGGGGGCACCTCGGGACCACGCAGTCACGGCCTATAGTGTTCCTGGAACCTGTGACAGGCACAGCCTGGTTCCCCTTCCTCCATGTCCACAGCACAGAAGGCGCAGCTGCAGCCTGCAAGTTAGGACTCGGCATTCCTTCAGGAGGGAGAGAACAAGGGAGGGGTGGGAGGGGTCTGTCCCTGGGGAGTGGCAGGGCGTCTTGCCTTTAGGATTTAACTTGAACTGGTGTAGGGCAGCCTTTCCAGAGCTGGGATTGGGCCCGAGGGGAGGGGAAGGGAAGGCCTGCTCACTCTTAAGAGGCAACTGCAAAAGCTCCCTCCTCACGTGTGACAGACCCAAACCTGCTGGGCTGGTCTGTGCCCAGCTACAGTATTCTGGCTGCATCCCCGGAGGCCAGCCGCCCTGGCAGGTGCACCAGGAAGAGGCTGAACACACAGGCCTCCTGAGGAGATGAAGTGAGAATGGTACCCACCTTTCCAAAGGGCCCATATCCTGCCTGGCACAGCCAGAACAAGCCCTCCCAAGCTGACTTCTGCAGGGTGGCAGCTGGCACCAGCCACTGGAAGGCTTATACCTGTGCCTCAAACCAGCTTCAGCTCTGGAATCAGCTGGGCCAGTGACAAGGCACAAGCAAGCTGAGAACTTGGCATGAAAGGCTGTCTTCTTTGGCCCCAGAGGGCTGTCTCCGAGGAGCTGGGGCTGGTCTCCGGACAATGTGCGGGGCACAGGGAGCCTGAGTGGTGCACCCTCCCTCCTGGGCACCGGACGTTAAGAGAATGGGGAGGACTGAAGCCACTGGTCATGACCACCCGGAAGAAATAAAACCCAAGTCCTGCAGGACCCAATTCAAACACCCCCAAAACTTACAGAAAAATCAGGCTTAGCTACTTGGTAAACCATTTCCCGACCGGCCCCGTCAAAGGTTTATCTGTTGGAATATGTCTCCACCTTGTGGTCAATGCTGACATGACCACCACCTCCATCTTCAAAATCTCCACCAGTGCCCAATTTAACCCTCACAATAAACCACTTAAGTCCTAGTACGGGCATTTGCAGTAACTTTGGAAAGTGAGGCAATGATGGGACACCTCCCTGCCAAGGGTCTAGGAGCTCCCAGCCTGTGCTGGCCTGTCACCTCTGGGGGGAGGAGCTTCGATCCAAGCTGTGAGTGCTCTTCAGGGTGCTCAGGGGCGTCAAGCAGCAGAACCAGGGCTTAATCCTGATTCAGGCCTGGCTGGACCTAAGCTGCCACTCATGCTGGGTTTGGGGCCCTCCACACACCCACCATCCAAACTCATCTCTGCCCGGAGGCCGGGGCAGACCTGTTAGGAAGCCGGGCTCCTAGGCACTCATGTTCTCTCAGCTTTAGGACTCGAGCCTGCTCCAAATTGCTCTGCACTCACCCCCTGCGGCGCACTGCTCCTGAGACCCTTATAAGCAGGACTGGGGGAGGGGGTGGGATAGTGATGGGCCCAGGACATGGACATGAAAGTGGGGCTACATCCCAAGGATAAAGGCTTAGCTTGCAGCCATTTTATTGTAATGGGGCTCCTTTTACCTAAGTGACTTTAAATCTCAGTGCAGGCTGGCTCATTCCCACAAACATTCCACCAGGATCCCCACCCCCACCCCCACCCCCACCCCCACTGGAGTCTAGCAACCCACACATTTCCTTCCGGCCTTCAAAGACAAGACACACGAGAAGAGTTTTTAACGTTTTAATACAGGTCAGGATGTCGGGCTCATTTCAGCTCCTTCACCGCCAAACCTAGAGTGAGAGGCAAACGCGAGCATCAGAAGCCAGTCCCAGCTGCTTGTCTGGGATTTGTTCTAAGCTAAGAAGGCTCACAGGACTCAGACAGTAAGCCCACAGGGAGGTTTCACATAAAAGTGTGTTTGATAAAAAACCAAAACCAAACGCCTGTCAGCCTTTATAAACGGGCCCTGTGGAGCAGCACCAGCTAACCTTCACAGTGGCCAGGCAGCCTCTGGAGCTGCTCGGTGCTCCTCCCAGGATGGACCTCTGTTTAACCCAGGCTCATGGCCCGCGGTACTTAACCCGTTTTCCAACTTGTAAAAATGGAGATCCTCTGCCCTAACTGGTTTGGTTCAGTGGATAGAACATCAGTCTCCGGACTGAAAGGTCCCAGGTTCGATTCCGGTCAAGGGCAGCTGCCTCCTGCACACCCCCCACTGGGGATGTGCCTTGGTTGCAGGCACATCCCCAGTGGGGGGTGTGCAGGAGGCAGCTGATTGGTGTTTCTGACTCTCTATCCCTCTCCCTTCGTCTCTTAAAAAAAAAAAAATTATATATATATATGTATATATGTATATGTATATATACAAATTATATATATATATGTATATATATACCCCCCCCCCAAAAAAAATGGGGATCCTCAAAACCAGCATCTACCTGATGGGATGAAATGAGGTACAGAGTAGGTGTGAGCTGTTACTATTCTGCACTAGAAAAGCATGAACCCGGGGAACAAATCCACCTCGGCCAGGGAACCATGTCGGAAATAACCACGCGCTCGCAGACAATGGCAAGAACAAATGCTTAGACTACAGAATGGACTCGCCTCTACCTGGGCACAACTCAAGCACAGGATGGCGATGTGGGCGCCGTCCACAGCC